TGGAATTTACTTGTATCAACTTTTGAACAAAATGCTGGGCGCATGGTATGAAAACAAAATAATAATAATAATAATAGTGCACATGTTTTGAGCCAATTTTTGTTAAGGTTGCATATATATGTATACATATATTTTTTACGGCATGCGGTTGGATCAGGATTATATACACGTACTACTGCTTCTTGTGAGAAAACGGACCAATACCAGGAAAGGTAATACATGAACGCGGTTATCCTATAAATTGCGCACGCGCTCATTTCTCTGTCTCTCTCTTTGTGTGCGTGGGTGTGCGTATAAAGATATGAGTAAAGATCTTTTAACGAGTCCCAACGTGGTATGTAAGCTTGATAACTAACGCCATTATTCCAGGCTTAGAAAAGAGTAGTGGTCGTCAGCGTGGTGAAGAGAAACGTGATAGCAAGCCAGTTTGTTGTTGAGGATGCAGCGGAGTCCATGGCGCATAATTTATGTGCCCCCATCCAACCGTCTAGGCATGAGTCGGCCATCAACCTTGGATCCTTGCACTGCTGCAAGCGCGGGTTGTGGTCAAGCCAGATGCGCATTGCCAGCTGGCATTCTCTACCAAAGCAGTCTCGAATCCGCTTGGCCGAGAGACGGCATGCGGGGAAGAAGAGGTCTATATTCTCCGCACACTTCACACGCTCCACACATGATGTCATGTTCGCTTGAGTAATCTGTAGAGGTGGTTGGTTTGTATCTGCCACAGCCGGCTCCTGTATCATACTATTGGGGTACGTAAGTACTGCGGAAGACATGTCTGCTTTGGTGTTTCCACATATAAGACTCGCTGAAGGACAGAGTATTTTGCCGTGAACTCCGCGCAAGTAAGAGGTGTCTGCCTCCCCCGCGGTGCCATTCGCAGGACACGGAACCGTTTGCCCTTGAACACGCAACAGTATCTGTCCAGAGCTTGTGCACATCATCGGCAGGCAGCGGGCACCGTTGCCCAAGTTGGGAAGCGCACTCGTAATGAGGTTAGACTTAAAACAACGGCTGTTTTGTCCCATTTCATCCCCGTACAAATTCACTGAGCCTTCGTTGTTTTCGTTTACGCAGTTCACGTTGAAGTAGACAGAGATGCTTGGGCAATAGTCCATCTCCGGCAAGCTTCCACCCAGCCGTGGATTACTGAAGTACTGGTAGTTCGTGGGGAGGTCCACGGGGTACTCCGTCACGTCACACCTTCCCGCGCCCAAGCGGTCGTGCGTGCACCGAGACTCTGTCGCACTTTCCTCGTGAAAGCAAAATTCATCCACGTCCTCGGCTTGATCGTTGCATTTGTTGTAGAGAAATCGACACGAGCGGTTTCTGCCCCAGCGATAGTTGTCCTCCGCCACACTGTAGTTGATGGAGTAGTACCCGAGATCCTCCAGAAAGGCCAGTGTGAGGGAGGAGTAGAAGAGGTTGGCAGTGGTGATGCTTCCAACCAGCACCTCTTCGTATAAAATGCGCTTCTTCCAGTGCGAGCCTGCCGTCCCGGGTCCGCCGCCATCCTCAATCTCCACTCCGTCAAGCGTGGGGCAGTTAAAATGCCGCCGCGCCACCGCGACAACCCTGGGTGATGTGACCAGTGTCACGTTTTTGCCCAGCTTGGGCCGGTACACACGTGCGGAGCCTGGCACGATTTTGCCGCCAGGTCCCACATGCGAGCCGGCGGTGTTGGCTAGATTCGAAAAGCCCAGGGCGTGCGTGACCTCGTGCATTGCTATGCGTGCCTCAACCTCCGTGACGTATTCCCTGAGAACGCCTGGTATGAAGTTCACGTGCCCCACCACAGGCCGACCTGTGGACGCCTTCATGCACCAGCGCGCCCAGGCAGCGACGCTTCTTACCTCCCTCCTTGGATTGGCTGTAACAAACACAACGTAGTCCTTCTCCGCAATCTGGACGGCAGGGTTACTTAGGAAAGGGCAGACGCTTGCGTCCACCGAGATTTCTTCCAGCGGGTCCACAAGAACCGCCTGCTCCAAAAATGCGCAAGCCCTCTTAACCAACCTGCGTATTGTCCTGACCTTTCGCGGTGTCAAGACATCGTCGTCAGTGCACTTGGTTGTATCCCCAAGGTAGGTAGTGACGACTTGTCCAGCCTTGCTGCAGGCCTCACCCAGCAAAAACACGGCGTGGAAACGAATGTTCTGCCGAGCAGCGGCCGTGAAGACGGGAAGGGCGTTCACGTTTCGCATGGCATCCCTGTACTTCACATTCGCGTACGGAAGTGCATCGTGGGGGAGCGCCACCTGGTCGTGCACGCACACGTAGTGGCGGGGCATCGCAGAGGGGTCCGCCGCGTGGGCGGTAGCCACCGCCGTCAGGAACAGCAGCGCACAGGCGGCGACGCGAAACACGTCGGAGGCGCGAAGCGGCCGCCCTGCGCCCATCCTCCCCGCCTGCGCCGCCTGCCCCCTGCTCTTCTGCCGCTGCGCGCCTCTGCCCTGACGCCGCGCACTGCCAGCAGCAGCGGCAGCAGCAGCTCCCCTCATGTGTTGACGCTAGAAAAACAAATTCCCTTCGACGAAAAAAGCTGCAAAAAAAAAAGAGCGATAGAACGGGTTCATACGACAATTTCACATACAGCCAAACATATCTGTCCATACCCCGCTGCCGCCTCGATGCTTACGCCCACGCTCAGCAAGAGAAAATGCATACAATCAAGCACAGAAGGACATAAATATGCCCAGCAGCACGAAAAGCAACACTACGACTTCGTTGCAGGGACACGGTTCACGCGGCTGAGGCGCAGGGGAAGTAGCGTCGTGCCGGGGCGGCAGTTGTACTGGTACCGCCACCGACGCAGCGGGAAGCTCAGCACCCCCGCCGCAAACGCCTGGATCAGGTGGTACATCAATGAGGGCAGTAGTATCACGGCAGCCTGGCGATTCTCCTGAAAAAGGTGAAGGATGATGGGAACGACAAGAACTTCAGACTTCGTGACAAACGTAAAAAAAAGCGCAATTCGATCCTCGGGTGTGCACGCAATCAGCGAAGCCAGCAGCCATCCCACCAAGCATGTCGCGGCGTACAACGTCAACTCCACAAGGGATATCAGCCCGACACCCCGCCACGTTAATGAACTAGAGGCAACAGACTGAACAAAGAAGTTGCTAAACATGCAGTAGTTAACCAGGAGTAGTACAAGGTTGTTCAGCTGAATCGTGCGTTGGCGCCAGTACACGAGACTGCCGTTGCACAACTCAGAGCATGCTAACTCTGCCTTGTTGAGGCGTAAAACATCGCGGTCCTCCCCAGCTATGCGGCGGTGTGCCACCCACCCAAACACCTTTTGTGCGATAACGCCACAAAAGAAGGGGCCAATCACAGTTGCGTGGAACAGCATCATTTCGGCCGTGCTTGGAAACTTGGTTGCATGGGACAATGACATGCATGCCAGCATTAGCAACGGGGAGAGGACAACGCCACACACACTACCAACCGCACTGAGGTACTGTGAAAGAGCCTCACTCCCTTGCGACGAACGCACTGCCGCCACGGAAAGAATCACAGACGGAGGCAAGCAAAACGTGCACATTAAACCCACCGCTAGATAGTTTGTCTCACTGCTGCTACGAAGCGTCATGTATACGCCCACCCCCACAATAGGGGAAAAAAGAAAGCTCATGATAAACATGGTAATCGCAGGACCCATAAAACGCAGCGTGGCGCCCCTGTCAACGTCTGGGAAGGAGGCACCGCTTAGTGTGAAGGAGACTAAGACGAGGACGCGCGTCCAGGCACTGGTGGCCATGTCCGCCGAGACGGGGTGGTAATATGCCATGCCAATACTCAATATGAAGAGGCCAAGCAGCCACTGGCTGCGCACCCAATCCACCACCGACAGCGACCCCATAACGAGACGCACCAACCGTTCCTTTGAGCCTGCGGCGGCCCCCGCCTCATCCCCGATGCCCGCAACTAAGAACTCTCTGGTGGGCTGCAACTCCGGGGACCGTCGCCAGAGCTGCGGGGTGTGCACCTCTACTCCACCCGTGCCGCTCATCCCTGCCATTGTCCCTCCTAATGTGGAAACTGGAAGCGAAAGCTATTCTACAAGGCCAACAGAGACAAACAAAACACTAAACAAGAAGGATAGAAACAAAAACAAAAAGAGAACTTTGCGCGCGAGCATCCCATTCATTGTAAACACCCACACACGCAGCCTGCGTGTGTGCGTGGGTGTGGGCGGTTTAATACTTCATCGAATAGGCAACACTCCGGCCGCTGCCCACCCCAAGCACCAACCAAAACAACAACAAGAACAACACACATATACGCGCACACGCATAGACGCAAAGAAAAAAAAGAAAATATAATGGTCTACACATGTATATATATACACACAGAGAGAGAGAGAAGTACTATTTCCTCTCTTCGGCGGTGGAAGCCCCTTCAGTAATGTATGGTTTCAGCAGAATGGCGCATAGATGTAGATGGATTCGCCCGTGTGCAGCTACGGAGTCACCCGTCTTCTTTCAGACTAAAATCCGCTGCCAGACAGGAGACCCAAAAAGGGCTCACTGGCAGTATCACCGACTCCGCGCACTGGATTGACAATCCATCAACCTCCGAGAAGGCATCCCAGAGCGTCTCGATGTGCCTGCCGAGGCAGTCCGAAACAAGGACTTCCCACGCCGCCTGCCCAAAACGCATATACTTCTCGATAGAGGCACGAGCAAGCTGAGGCAATTTCAGCGGATCCCGCAACCATCGTTGCGTACAGAGTAGGCAGAGGTAGTAGACATCCACGCCCTCACAGCGCATCCGTTCCTCCAGATGCGGGAAGGCCGCAATAAAACGATGCGCCACACCAACCGCTAGGTCTGTGCCACGTCCGTACGTTTCCAAATGTGATGAGGAATGCGACTTCACCACCGCCGCCGCACGCGACGCGTCTCCCCCATACAACTGAAGCAGCAGCCGCAGAACAGAAAGGATATGGACTTCCTCTTCCGCATCCTCTCCCTTCACGGAAAGAAGTTCTTTCAGGGCGCACAACTCACCTTCCCCAACAAGGCGCAAGTCGGAGATTGCACATTTTTCGGCAGCCGCCTGCAGCGCGGCTTCATGCTCCGCTCCGAATCGGTGTGCAAGTACGGCAGCGAGGCGGTCGGAGGCAACGCCAGTTGTTAAAAACTGCAAAAGCTGCCAGACCGGGTCAAGCCCGCGTCTCTCCTTGAGTAGTTCCTGCAGTGCAGCCTGCAATACGTGCCCGTGGCTACACTCGTTGGCGTCTCCTGCTCCGCTCAACCTATTGAGGCTGAGAACACACAACAAAAGTAGCAGGGAGTCTTCCCCAAAGGGCTCATTCGGCAGCGACACGTTTCCGTTGTACTCTACCCAGTAGGTTTGCAGCTGTCGAGCCACCATTTCTGTGACATCCAAATCAGCCACGCCCGGTGTGGGAGATAGTGGGCACAGCGTGGCAATCCATAGGCGAACGGAGAGCATTGCCGCGAGCATGCGCCTTTGGCGCACTTCCTGCACAGGAGTGAGCTGAGGCACGTGAAGAAGGGCCTCAAACTCCTCCACAGGGATTGCAAGGAGAGCGCCGTCCGCGACGTCTCTGTCCGCCGCCAGTGACAGGAGCACCTCCGTCGTGGCAAGAAACAACCCACGACGCGCGCAGGCATTTGTGCACCATCGCATCAGCAACCACCATGCGGTAGGGCACACACGCACTGGGGGCTGCGGTTGTTGCTCGTCCTCCTCCTCCCTCTCCTTCTTTTCATACTCCTGCTGCTGCTGCTGCTTCTGTGACCCTGAAGGCATCCTGGGGGCACCCGCGCAGAGGTGCAGGAGCAGAGCCCTGTAGTCAAGGTGGCCTGCACGCCGCTCATCCTCCAAGACCTCCTCAAGGCCGCGCCAGGAGGAGATGGAGTAGCTGATGGCAACAAGGTGCCCCTCGTTCCACGGCGATCCCACACGCTTTTCGTGCCGGCACACGGCACGCACGGCACGCGCAACCACTTTGGGCAAATCCGTCGCGTGCCAACGCAGCAATTCCCACCAGAAATCCCCAACCACAGCTTGGTGCACGGAAGCCTTCTTCGTCCAGTGCTCCGACCGCCTGAGAAGTTTCTCCTCGAGGGACCGCACCTGCGCCAGCGACAGTCGATAGCTGCGGTTAGACTCATACGTGGAGGGCACTACGAAGCGCAGAAGGAGACGCAAGAGCCTTCCCACGGAGTCACGCACCTCACTGTACTCCTGAGAGATGAGAAAACGGTAAACCTTGTTGAACTGTTCTTGGCGCTTCTCAACGCAGAGCCCACGCACGCAGCGATCGACGCACACCATGGCATCCTCAACAAGGTCGCATCGCACGTGGTTGCTCAGCAAGGCGTCCACCAGCTTCTCAAAGACGAGCGTAAAAGTAGTTGCGTCGCCGGGCCCTTTCACCCACAGCGGTAGCATTGTCAACATCAGCCCCAGAACGTGGGAGATGGGCATGGCAGCTGCCAGTTTGTTGATAAGGCCAGGCTCCCTTATCGGAAGCAGGGCGATGTTGCAGCCGAGAGAGGGGCGCACCAAGAGCCTCTTCAGCCACAGTGCCTGTGAATCCAAAACGCTAAAGTCCTCAAGGTGCTCAACGACAACGCGTAAGCCTTGCAGGAGTAGCTGGGCAATTTCGTCGTCCAGGAAGGCGACAATGCTTTCCGAGGTGCAAAGGAGAAGTCGATGGAACAGCTCCAAAAAGACGCCCCGCTCATCTGGCGCGTCCTCGACGGGGCGCCGGAGCTTCGCAGCCACGGCGTCCAAAAGCCCAAGTTTCCGTTGGGGGGCGCATCGACTGTAAATCAGCTCCACAAGTGTGCGGGTCTCACACGATGTCGCCTGCAGCCCTACGCACACGAGCAGCGCGCCAACCCAGAAGTCCCAGTTGGCGTCGAGGATGGGGGACTCCGGATCCGCGTCCGCGACCGCGCGCAGTGCCCGGACAAACACCTCTGCCTTTTCGCCGCTTAAAGCGCTACCATCCTCCACCCATTCCCGCCTACACGAGTCGAGCAACCCACGGACGTCGTGGCACGAAGTCTTCCCTTCCCACGGCAGCTCCTCCCAAAAGCCATCATGGTCTGCACCAAAGCGTAGGACATTACTCGGTGGAGTGGCATCGGCCGCCGACGTGTAGCCAGGTGGTGTGACACTATCTTGCTCCTCTGCAACCGCGTACATGCGTTCCAGTATCTGTTTCCACTCCCCACGCATTTCCTCCATGGCCGCCCCGTTGCGTAGCAGCGCATCACGCAGGGCAAGCGGATCACTCTTGGCCCCCGCCACTCCATTACCGGTTGTAGTCCTCACCAATTCGGCATTCTTCCTCACAAACAGCCGTACAGACTCTCGTAACCCTTTTACAGCAGGCACCCCACGCAACGCGGAATTGCCAGGACCAATGAGCGACTCCAAACTTCGCTTTGCTTCCGCATCTTCTTCCTCCGTCTTGTTTTTAGGGCACGGACTTTCCCGTCCCTTGCCCAGACTGTTCGCGAGGAGGGCCTCACAGACGACCTTCAGACTTCGTGGTGGGCCTTTCTGTGGAATTTCCATGCGTGGCGCGGATTACGCAACCGGTCATGAAGGGGTGACACCTACACGCGAAGTGGTCTGTTACTTCTCGTGGGAAACCGACAAGAGAGACGAAGACGGGTGGAGAGGAAAAAAGAGAGTCGGCAAGCGCCATTCAGTGTGCCAGTGCGTCAGTGCGTTTGGGGAGGGAGTGGTTTCGCAGCCACGCGTGACAGATGCCTTCTGTGCTGCATTCTGCCCCAAGGCAGAGGCCGAGTGCTAAGGCGAGTGACAGGCGTTGCTGTTCTTCTTCTCCCGCTCACGACTTCCCCCGGACTGACGCAGCACCCACTGCAAATATTCGCCCACTTTTCTTCGCTCCATCCAGCACTCCTCTCAGGCACACTTTCACCCACACACGCACGCATCTACTTCCCTGCCTCCACCCCCTACACACACCGGGCGGCCGTGCAACTCCTACTGCTCCCAGTCGTGGTACTCGTCCAACGACACGGAGGGCCCGGGGCGACGTTTTTTTTTTTTGGTTTCTTATACTCCGCCGCCCCTGTCAGAGGCGAATCACCCCAGACGCACACACACACACACACACCAAGTGCAACAAACCCCCTCCCTTCCCCATAGTACGCTAAACAAACAAAGAAACTAAAAAACGGCCCTGTTCCCCTTTTTCACCCATCCCTCTACTAGACTTTTAGCAAGAAGCATCTAACGTTTTTCATTCACAAGCCCCGCTCTTTCCGGACCGCGGTACAAGTACTTGAACTCTGGGCGCTCCTTTACGAGTGGCACATTCTCATCCTTTGGTATCTCGTACGTGAACGGAGACTCGGCAAACATGTCTCGCAGTGGCGTGGCGGTGAGGAAGTAGGGATTCTTGCGCGGCGGGTAGTCCGTGCAAGTGTTAAAGCTTGGCTCCCACGCAGGAATCATACAGGCCGAAAATAAGCTCCAATTCTCACCCGGGCGGATGCCGTAGACATGATAATCAAAGCGACGACACCATTCCTTCTTGTATTTGGCATACTTTTCCCACAACTGCTTCTTTCGCTCCAACCGTTCCTTGTCCTCCATGACTCCATACTTGCGGCACTCGTAGTCGTTTGGGAGGTACCCAGTGAGGCGATACATGCTTCGGTAGCAGAAGCACAGGTCCATGGAAAAAAAGGTCAATAACGTGATGGAAGAGCGTGACATGGGCATCATGCGCGCATTCCGCGTGGCCGCCTTGGAGCGAACCCAGTAGCTGTACGCGAACGCCACTGCAAGAGAAGTGGCGTGTTCGTACCACCGCACCGACTTTACTACGTCAAAGAACCCCGGCGTGGTTTCCACGACGGGGAAGGGGGTACCCATAATATGGTGTGCTAGGCGGAAGTTAGTGTAGTCCGAGTTGGTGAGGGACTGGTAGACGTTGTCGCGGCGCTCCACCGAGAGCGTGGAGCGCCAGAGCTGGAAGGACTTCCATGCGAGGAGCTCCTGGTCAGAGAGCTCACGCTCCGTGCTGGGGGCGCACTTGGTGTGGTCTACCGCTAAGAAGATGGGCTTGCCGGATTTGCCCACGCCGCCCGGTCCAATTTCCTCTGCAGTTGCCATCCGTGCGTGTGCCTGGTCTCCCCCTGGCAAGGGCAGAACACGCAGACGGCTTGGATCTTCTACCAAAACAAACACAAAGCAACCGCGGCCGTCAAAGCAGAGAGGTCAAAACAACAACAACAACAACGGCAACGACAACTGAAACAAACAGAGGATGGAAGTAAATAGCGGCAAGTGGGGGGGGGAGGAAAGAAAACAGTAACAAATAAACAAAGCAGCGTCGTGCAGACAGAAGACAAGATCGGGTGGCCGGCGACGATGCGCAGCCATCCACCCTCGCTTTCACCTCTCCCGCAAGGAATGGAATTGCCGCACCCTCACCCGGCCCGCACTGCGAAGAAGATACCACGCACGCACTCACCTAAAAACGGCGACGCCCAGTCGCTGAAGGAAATCATAAAATCCTACCACCACCACCAAAAACTTTTCTTTCCTCTTGGTTGATATTTCGTTTGTCGCCCCATTATAAGTCCACTTCCTCTCCAGAAAAATTTTCACGAGCCAAGCTCAAAAGAAACCGCACGAGAAACACACACAGATAGAGATAGAGATTTAAGGAGGATAAAACAAAGAGCGTCAACTGTATCGTTCTGCGGCGCCACAAGGGCGACGGCACGGGGGTGGTCAAAGGGGGCTTTGGCAACACTCGAGGCAGTTGTGTGACGGTTGCGCGGACTGGCTGTCTAGCGTACTACAAACAGAGCAAACCCCCCAACCTCCCTACGCTCCCAGAATTGCACACTAGATGTATATACATATATATATATATATATATATATATCCCGCTATCGATTATTTACGTAACCCACGAGCAAGCGGGGGTATAAAAAAGATTTACATTACATTCCGTTGCCTTCTCCTTTTTTTTTTTCATCAGGAGAGAAAAAGAATGGGGTGAAAGAACGAGTCTGTAGGCGCATGTAACACCCCAAGTTTTTCCCCCTCCTTTCTCGCCTGCAGCGCTGCAGATCGGTGCACGCGCCCGCCCACACACGCCATTGCTTTCTTAGCTTTATCCACAAGCAACATTAGCTGGCCAGGAAGGAGTTCAGGGACGCAAAGGCATTCGTCTGCTCCTCGTTTTTCTTTGACCGACCCCAGCGCTTCGTCTCGGCCATCACACGCGTGACCTCGGGAATAATCGCCTTGGCGCGTTCCACGTTGAGAAACGACAGGCGCGTGCGGCGGGCAATGAAGTCCTGCACATGCTCACAATGCTCCCGTTGCGCCGCATACGTCACTTCCGCCTCCACGATGGGTTCTTTCGGGTGCAGCCGCTGCAACGCTGCCGGGTTGCGGCGCACCATGTCAAGCAGGATGTAGTAGCGATCGCCGTACTGTCTCTTCCAGTGGGAATGCACGTCCTCCGGGATGTCGCTCGGCGCAGCTGCAGGGACGGATGCCAGGTTGTGAGCTCCAACCAGCTGTAACTCCCCCGTCACACACGGTCTGAACGAGGCACGGTTTTTTAGCAGCTTGTCCCGCAGTTCATCCACGGCGTCTTGGGCAATTTTACGGTACGTCGTCCATTTGCCCCCAGTGACGCTAAGCATTTGATGCTCTTCGTCCACGGAGACCATGTGCTCACGCACTATGTTCTGCGTGCTGCTCTCCGACGCACCCTCTGCCACGGCAAGCGGGCGAATACCACACCAGGCGGAGAGCACCGCCTCCCGTGGCACCTTGCCGACGTACTCCTCCATGCTATCGAGGAGAAAACGCACATCGGCCTCTGGCGGTCGCACGTCCTCCGTGACTTCGCACTTGTTGTCTGTGGTCCCAACTAAGCAGCCCCCCAACCAGGAAGTGCCAAACACCACGCGACCATCACTGGAGGGGAAAACCATGGCTCCCTCCCTCGGACAGTACCTCGGCTCAACGACAATGTGCGTTCCGGAGCTTGGCACGATGCGAAGCTTGCTTTTGTCCGCCATGAGTTTTTGAACCTCACCACTAAACGGGCCACAGGCGTTTAGAATAGTCCTGCTGTACACCGTAAACTTGCGTTGATTCACGCGATCGGTTACGAGCGACTTCACCACCCGTTCGCCAGAGCTGTTCTGCACAAGCTCCATTTTTTCCACCTTTGCGTAGTTCACTGTGGCTGCTCCGTAGCTGGCGGCTGTAAGAGCCGCCGAGAGACAGACGCGGGCGTCATCCATCTGCCCATCATAATACTGGACGGACCCGTACAGCAACTCGCCATGCTTGTTGGTGTACCGAAGCTGGGGAAATCGCTTCAGTGTGTCGTAGGGGGTGAGGAAGCCGGAGTATTTGAGGGTGCCGCGTTCCCACATGGCGATCAAATCATACAGCTTCGCGCCACACCAAAACTTGACAATGTCAATTGGGTCATAGCAAGGAATGATGGTGGGAATGTCGTGGCATAAGTGGGGTGCTTGGTGAATCATGATGGTGCGCTCCTGCAGCGCCTCCGCCACCAACTTAAGTTGTTGTACATCGAGGTGAAAGACTGCCTTTTCAAGGTAGCGAATCCCGCCATGTATAAGTTTGGTGCTCCGACTGCTCGTGCCGCTCGCGTAGTCGTTCATCTCGACAAGGCCCACGCTCAGTCCACGCGTCACGGCATCCAGCGCTGAGCCGGCGCCGACAGAGCCACCGCCCACAATGAGTACATCCATGGGAGTTTCAGGGGAAGCAAATGCCTGGAAACGAGTTAGGCACTCGTCGCGGGAGGGGTTCTCCGGACACACAAGGGGAACCGTCTTGCTGGAGTCAAACTTCCGCTGCGTCCAGCTGGGGTTGGTGTAACTGAAGCCAATGAGACCTGCCACAGCGGCTGTGGCGGCCCCTATACACTTTTTTGCGGCGCTTGCCATGATGTTGGTAAAGGGCGAGTTTCGGAACGCTCTTGCGAGGAGTCCGCTTCTTCCGCGCGTGCTTGTGTGTGCAGGGAGGTGCGGGGGCAAAGCAAAGACTGCCGAGTAAGACAGAGCAGCGCAGCAGGCAACACGAAACACAAGCAAAAGTGACTGCTCAATTCCAGTCTGTCGCCCCAAAGGACTCGGACAGAAGAGGTGTGAAGGCGGCGGTGGGCCGCAAGACTCCCGGCTTTGGCTCCACCCAACTCACTGCCGCATTCAGCGGCATTGGCTGAGGAGGAGAAAGCCATCAAGTAAAAAAAAAATAAGAATAATAATAATAATAAAACAACCGCACACAAACACGCAGCAAAAATATATATATATATATATAATAACAATAATCAACGGTGCAAGTTGAACTGCACTTGCACACAACGATAAAGCAACCCGTGAGGGTCAGTGCTGGTGGGGTGGTGAAACTCGGCCACCGCCGTGGCGGCCACTCGCAGTCAGCTGTACACACTACCCCACCGCCCGCACTAGTCGTGCAGTGGGTGCGTCATTGTATCTCAACCTTCGCCCGATCGCAAAATGAATTGCCTTCGTCGGTTTCTACTTTCGCCGCTTCTCGCTCACGCGCTCCCTCGCCCGCAGGGTGTGTGCCCCACTCGTATGGAATCCCACTTCCCCGCGTTTTCGCTATTGCCGCTTCTGTCCTTCAAAACAACAACAACAACCACAAAAGGCGGGGTTGTCACGCCCAGCGCCTGGAGCGCTTGTACCGCGGTGCCGACGACACGGCTTCTTGCGTCGGGCCGAAAGAACTCGCCCTGGCGGTAGCGAGACGGCTGTCCCCCTGTGTCGCGCCAAGGAAGAAGTCACACGGTGCAGGCGGTGTCAAGCACCGTGGGGGGTAGCGACGGCGTGGCGAGGCGTGTGCGGCGGCGGTCGCAAGCCACGACACCGACCTGTGCACGGTCCCGTTCCACGCAGGAGAGGGCGTTCTTCCTTCGTCGGAGGTGCTCCACCCGCCCAACTTGCCAGGAACAGGGACAGACAACACAGGAGAGGGAGAATCGTACATCGAAGGGGAAGGGTCATGTGGCGGGGCCTGCAGGGGGCGGCCCGTAGCAAAGGACCCAGCCAGGGGGGCGGCGGGAGAGGGCACCGCCGGCCTCGAGTGTGAGGCCCGCGGCGGCGGCAAGAGAGGCGCGGCCGTCAAGGACGGCGTGACACCTCCCGAGGGCGAGGGCAGAGGACGCCGCGGGAGTGGCCCGGCGTCGTGGGTCATCGCGGCGGAGTGCATGGGGCTCATGTGCAACGACCACAGGCGACCCTGCAGCTCCCGCGCCTCCGCTGCCTTGAGCTGCTGCAGTAGCAGCACATGCCTCCTCCGCTCCCGCTCAAGCTCCTCCCGGCGCCGGGACGCCTGCGGCACCACAGCCTCCACCTCGCGAAACTGCCGCCGGAAGGACTTCATGTAGGAGCGGTTCCTCTGCTCCAACGCCCGCCGCTCCTCGACTTCGTCGCGTTCGATGGACTCCATCGCCGCAAGGCGCCGGTGCGACGCCGTCGCCTCCCTCTCGAGCACCAACATCTGCCGCCGCACGTGCCATGACCCAAAGGCGTGCCAGAGCTGGTTCCGCTCCCCGCTCTCCCTGCTCCGAATCCAGCAGCGCTGCTCAAACTCCACGTCGTCCAGATCCTCCCTAAGGATGGTGAAGAAGAGGAGCCTCTCCTGGCGGAACACACGGCGAAGCCGCCCGATGTACACCGTGGCTTCTTGCAGGATATCATTCCGTGCTAGCAGCGCGGCGTCAAAGAGTTTCTGGCACTCTAACAACGTCTGCGTCTCACGTGCTTTGCAGAGTTCCAAGTCTTTCCTTAGCGCCAATTGCATTCGTTGCTCCGACTGAAGCGCCTCACGGTGAAACTGCCGCTTTTCTTCTCTGCACTCCTCGTACAGCGCCGCAGTTCGTTGACAAAGCAGTGCATGCTGCTCCTTGCGCCAGCGGGCCTTTGCCTCCCTCAACGCGGCCGAACGCTTCATGTACGCACGGTACTCGCTTGTGAGCAACAGGACAAGTCGCCGGCACTTTTTTTCACAGCTTTCACGATTGCTCTGCACCCTCGCAAGATAGCCCCTTCCACAGCTTTGCAGTCTAAGGCAAAACTTTGTAAGCGCCTCGTTTCTCTGGCGTTCCATGATGGGAAAAGCCTCGGCCTTCATGAACACCTTCGTCTTCCCGAGCTGCGCCATGACCTTGGTGTTTACATTGCACGCGGCGAGAATCGCCTGCGCCAACTCACGACCACTCCGTCCCTGGGCTTTGCTGCCCATAATAATCTTGTAGCGCGTGTTAAACTTGTCAAAGAGGTTCCGCACCGGGTATCCGGCCTTGCGTATCTTTACAGTTCCCAACACCCCGCTGGACTCAAGCTGCCGCATCGTCTGCAGTCCGTCGAACATCAATGGCTTCTTTGCTGGGTGCGGCTTAATGCAGCGGATCCAGTGCGGGTTGGTGCCATTAATCACCTCCATGAGTACGGCGAGTTGGCCCTTGAAGAAGGCGCCAACTGTCAGTCGCTTGCTGCGTGCCTCGGGAGGAAGCGGGGCCTCCAGGAGCTCCCGGATGAGGGGGTCCTGCGAATTCCGCATCAACCGCTTCACGCCGTCCTTGAGCGTGTCCCGGTTCTTCTCCAGCCAGCCGTTCACGTCATATGTGACGCTTGCGGCGTAGTGGTGAATGATGAACGTGTCGCGGCTCACCTTCTTCTTTTCAAAGAAGGGATTTTTCCCTGTGTGCGCCTGATGCACCTTCTCAAGGAAGTCAAGCTCGTTGCCCTGCCCGAGTGTGCACTCCTCGTCAAGCAGGGCAAGAATGCCGCCCTTGCCGACGATCAGCCGCAAGCACGGCGCGTTGTCCGGGCACGTCACCGCGGTGACGTCGATGCCCTCCTCGCGGCACTCGTCCATGTCCCTCTCAAAAATGTACTTGTTGTAGTGATTCTGCAGGGTCTCGTTCGTCAGGTTGATGCAGAGCTGCTCAAAGCTGTTTTTCTTAAAGTCCTCAAACCCAAAGATGTCCAAGAGGCCAATCCAGTTCCCTGCGGCGGCAACGTCGCACATCTGATTGCACTTATCCACCAGCCAGCCAAAGAGGCCGTCGTAGAGGGACTTCACGAGGGCGTCGCGTGCGTCGACCGCCAGCGTTGGGCGCAGCAGCTTGACGGTTTCGGTCCGCTGCACCAACAGCGTCGTGGTTACCATCTCCTTTCGCAGCGTCGCCTCGTCAACGCGCCAGAGACGCACGGCGTCCCTCAAGTACTTTTCGGTGCTCTGCCGCACCTGCGCCCCCTCGCCGTCCGCGTCAAAGGCGACGTTCAGCAAGGAAAGAATGCCGCCGACGCACGCCCAGACGGAGCGAACCTCCGCCTCCCGCATCCCAATCCTCCGCATGGCGCCCACGACGTCGTCGTAATCGGCGGCCGTGTCGTACTCCGAGTTTTCCAGGCACCCCCCTGCGTTCAAGCTCCTGTACGCGGCCTCGCTCGCCAGCCCCAGCCCCTCGCGCATCGCCCCACGCACCAGCAGGTAGAAGCTGTGGTACACCCGCTCGTTCTCCGCCGCGGTGACGATCCGAGACTTCTCCAGCAGGTACTTTGTCGTCTCTGCACCGACGAGCTGGGCCTTCGAGTTAAACTTCACCTTGACGAACTTACCGAAGCGGGAGCTGTTGTCGTTGCGCACGGTTCGGGCGTTCCCGAAACACTCCAATATGGGCGAGCAGGCTTCCAGCTTCGCCCCCACCTGCAGGCTCGCCGCCCGCTCCGCCTCGGTGGCCTCCAAGCACGAGACCTGCGCGAGGTACTTCATCACAATCTTCGTCGCCTCCGTCTTCCCCGCGCCGGACTCGCCGGAGACAAGGATGCACTGGTCCACGCGGTCGGAGACCATGTCGTAGTACGTGTTGTGCGCCTGCGCCCACGAGTGAGGCAGGCTCTTCTCGATCACGGGGCCCTCCTGCAGGTAGCGGCGCATGTTGTGGTCCTGGTACCAGGGAATGGCGAAGTTGAAGGGGTTGATCGCCACCACAATGGCGCCGATGTTGGTGTAGATCACGTCACGAAAGTAGCGCAAGTACAGACAGCGCAGCAGCGGGCCGTCGTGCAGCACCGTGAGCGCCAGCAGGTCGTCCGGCATCTCGTCCAGCAGATCTTCGCGGCAGGCGGCCAAGAGGGTCTCCGCCACTCCGTCAAACCCCTCTCCGACGCACCGCCGCTCCGGATCGTTCGTCCGCACGGAATACCCGCGCGCCTCCTTCGCAGTGACACGCGCAACGACCCACGACTCCCGCGGGTGGTCGAAGAAACACAGCGAGCCCACAGCAAAAGACATCTTCCTTCTCAGACGCAACGGAAACAACAAGCAAACAACCCAAAAAAAATGAAAAACGACACACACACGCGCACACAAAACAAGAACAAAAAAATATTCAACACATCGAACAAACAAATGTGAAACAATAACAAAAAAACAAAATGATTACCAACAGAACAAAGTCACACACAGACGTCGCTGCCGCCGGCAAGCAGCGTGGGCGGGTCGCGGGTGGCACGCAGCGGCAACTGCGCAGGGCAGCCCCCCCCCCCCCGCCAAGCGCGACAACTGCGAAGCAATGCCAACGCCAAGTCTGGCCCCAGTGGGTATCCTGTGGAGCGGCATCGAAGGATACAGCCGCCAAGGGACCTGTAATTCTGAGGCGTGCGTGCGTGTCTGCGCCGGTTCACTCTCCCGAGGGCAAGTCCGCCGTTGGTGCAATGGGTNTTGCTGCTCCACACGGTNCTACCCGNGGTNCTCGTGCGCCCCGNACCCGCGCATCTCCCGCGCCCGCCGCTCAGTCGCGTTGGGTCTCGTCACGCGCACGGTCAGG